ACACGAACGTACAAAACCTGAGCCCGCGATAAACAACGCGGTTATTAATAAGAACACAGCTAACCCAATATAATGTTGTCAATTAAAACGTTAAAACGTTTCTAAACTGTTGAGTGCTATTTACAACACTCCCACTCACTCAACATGTCCTTGTATCAGTCCCAACTTACATCGCAGATACTCAAATTGTCCTTTGGATAGTGGCTTTGTCAAGATATCCGCTACCATTTCATTGGTTGGACAGTACTTCAACTCAATTGTCTCATCTTGAGTTTTCTCCCGAACGAAATTATATTTGATATCAATGTGCTTCGTCCGCTTGTGTAGCACTGGGTTCCTTGACATCGCGATATCACCTTGATTATCTTCATATATGGTCGTCGCTGTTGTACACTCCATCTGTAGATCTTTCATCAGTTGTCGCAGCCATACTGCTTCTTGGGTTGCAAAACATAGTGCAATGTATTCTGATTCCGACGTTGAAAGAGCCACTGTTGGTTGTTTCTTGCTTGCCCAACTGATTGCACCACCCGACATCACAAATACGTTTCCGGACGTTGATCGTCGATCATCTGAGTCAGAAGCCCAATCTGCGTCAGAGTATCCCTCTACATTAGCATCGGTTTCTTGGTACTGCAGGCGTAGCTGAGCAGTTCCTTTCAAATACCGAAAAACGCTTGACCGCTGTTAGATGTGCCTCGGACGTCGGTGATGAGTTGAATTTAGCCAATGCTGCCACTGCGTAGGCTATGTCTGGACGAGTAGCTATCGCCGCGTATATCAAACTCCCTACCATTGACTGGTACTGAACGACATCTACTGGTTTCTATATCCATCGTCCTTAACTAGTTTTACGTTAAGATCCATTGGCGTTGACACCGTTTTGCAATTTTGCAATTTGTATTTTCGCATAATCTTACCGATGTACTTGTTCTTGACTGATTTGCAATACACCGTCCTTTATAGTAACACTAACTCCTAGACAGTAGTGGAGTACACCCATATCCTTCATCTTGAAGTGGTTTGCCAGACTGGTCTTGAGATCGATCATCTCTTCTTCAGTATCCGTTAAAAGTATCAGGTCATCAACATGAACAGTAACAATCGTCAGCTTATCCTTGAGGACACGAATGAATACACCTGGATCTGCAACACTCTGAACTAATCCCAGTGATAACATAAATTCTTTGAAGTCGTTATTCCAACAGCGCGGGCTTTGCTTCAGGCCATAAAGCAATTTCTTGAGGCGACACACTAGCCCTTCTTTTCCTGGTTCTACCTAGCCTTCGGGCTGTTGCATATATATTTCCACGTTCAAAGTACCGTTTAGGAATGCTGTTACTACATCCATTTGATGGATCAACATCTGTCGAGAAACACCAAAAGCCAGAAGAGCATGGATTGACGAAAAACGAACCACCGGAGAGAATGTTTCATCATATTCAATTCCGTATTTTTGCAGGAAAAATTAGCCACCAGACGACCTTTAAATCTTTCTACCTTTCCTGTCTCATCGTGCTTGACTTTGAAAACCCACTTGCAACTGATAGGCTTACCTCTAGCTGGCAGTTCAACTAACTCCCAAGTCTCATTCTCTAACAGCGTCTGCAGCTGCTTTCCACTGTGTTGTATATTCACTGTCAAGAGCGCCCTTTAACGTTTCTGGCTCTTCGATTTCAGCTACATAAAGTGCTGCATCTTTCGCTGTAGTGATTGTAGCATACTCGTCGTGGTAGTACGTTGGTGGATTTCTCTCTCGTCCTGAGCGTCGAGGATCCATTGGGAGATTTTGCTGTTTATCCACGGTTATAACATCTTTGCCCTTTAATTCCATTTCTTCTTCAGCGCATTCAGTACTGCCTTCGTCGCACTTCATTTAAACTTTTGTAGACCCGAAGTCTGTTTCATTAAAGGTTATATCTCTGCGAATGAAGATTCTTTGTCGATTCTCATCATATAGCCTGTATCCTTTTTGTGTAAGGCTGTAGCCGACAAATCGCATCTTGACTGCCTTTTGGTAAAGTTTCTGGCGTGAAGCATCAGGAACATGAGCGTAAGCAGTGCAGCCAAAGACACGAAGATTAGACACATCTGGCTTCTTTCCATACCATCTTTCGTAAGGGGTTACCGCGGTCGCAGTCGTGATGACTCGATTTCTTGCATAGGTCGCATTGCAAACTGCTTCTGCCCAGAAAGCTTTGGACAGTCCAGCATGCAGAATCATAGAGAGAGCTGCTTCTTGAAGTGTTCGGTTCATGCGCTCAGCTACCCCATTCTGCTGGGGGTGAATGTGGCACTGTAGTCTCATGACGAATTCCTTTCTCCTTTAGAAAATCTTGGAACTCGGTGGATGTGTATTCACCACCATTGTCTGTACGAAGTGTCTTAATCTTGCATTTGCCTGGTTTGTCACGGCTGCCTCCCACTCCTCGAATTTTTAGACTTTACTTCAGACTTTACTTCATTGGGTAAACAGTGACACATCTGTAGTAATCATCGATGAAGGTGACGAAGTACTTTGCACGTCCAAAGCTTTCAGTTTTCATCGGTCCGGCAACACCACTATGGACCAACTCTAACCTTCTCGTTGACTTAATTTCTCCCATTGGCTTAAATGGCGCTCGGTGAGCCTTTCCTTCCGCACAGACCTCGCAAAAACTTAACTTGCCAGTTCCAGGTATGTCCGTATCTGTAATAAGTTCCTTTGAAGCCATGATTTTCCTTTGACCGGCATTTAAATGCGCTATTCTTTGGTGCCATAGATTTAGTTTGGCACCAGTTTCATTAGCAATTGATGCTCGGTTTCCATGTTTGGCAACTTTGCAATTAAGACGGTACATGTTCCCAACAAGTCGATCATGAGCTACAACTTGTCCCTTCAAATCCTTAATCCAACAGAGGGTGTTGCCAAATTGCACCACCTTGGCTTTAGATGCTGCTGCACGTGCACTAAAAAGATTTGTAGCTAATTTTGGAACATAGAGTACCTTTGTTAGAATTGATTTCCGTTGCTCTTTCTCTTTATTTCCAAGTATCATAGTGATGTCTACTTGTCCATATCCGTACTCATTAACACAACGACCATCACCAAGAGCAACAGGTTCTGGTTCAGGGAATTCACAATAATTTACCAATAAGTCACGATTGGTAGTCATGTGCTGCGAAGCACCGGAGTCGATTATCCAACAACTATTTCCTTCAGCTGCAATCAATCCTACTACGAATACATTACCCCAGAATTCTCGTTCATTTTCCCATCAGTATCTGCTGGAATTGCTTTATATTTGTATGAATTTACCGGTTTATTTCGGTTTTCATGCTGCCCTTTCTATCTTTTCGGACAATTTCTGATCACATGATTCTCTTCCCCGCATCCAAAGCACTTGATAGGCTTTCGACTTGTCTTTTCATGCTGTAAGGCAGTTTCACCCTTGTCGACTCGACCACCACCATCTTTGCCCTTGTATAGGCCACGTTTTTCTTCTTCACTCATGAGTGCTTGATGCACTTGAGTTAGGCTAAGATCGTTTCCTTTTGCTGTCAATGCAGTTGTTAGAGTTTTATATGATCGTGGAAGGCTGAGTAACAGGGCTACGATATGTTCATCTTCAGGAATAGGCGCCTTGATGGCTGCCAGTTGGTCAGTAATTTCTTTCATGCGGCGTAGATAATCATCGAGGGAATCACAATCTTTCATTTTCAAAGAAAAGAATTTCTGCTTCAAAAACAATTTGTTTGCTACAGTGTTTCTTTCAAAACGTTCCTTCAGTTTGTCCCAAATTTGCTTTGGCGTTTGGCATTCAGTAATGAGATGTACAAGATCCGAATTTATACTCTAACAAGTAGAGCTTTGGTCTTCTTCTGAGCCATTTCGAATGCTCTTTGAGCCGATGAACGTGATGAACTGCTTTCTAATAAAGCCGGGCTGGTTACCGTTCCATCAATGTAACCCCACAACTCTCTAGCTTTCAATATAACCTGCATTTGATATTTCCATACTTGCCAATTTTTAACTCCCTCTAGTTTGTCGATAAATAACTTGTCTTCTTGAGCCATTTTGAACGTTTAAATCCAGCAGAAATTTCTTTCATTAATAACACGCAGTTCAGAGAGTGCCTGGGCCATAGATATCTTATATACACTAGATAGCGCATCTCTTTTAGTAAAATTGAAGCCAATGATATTCCAGCGGTTCCCCCCATTTGAATAGATGGCGGCCATGTTGGTCGTTCCACTTGCTAATAAACGCTTAAAAACAACAATAACTTTCATCATTTGAATAGTTTAAAAACGTATTTGGAATAGGGTTGACTTAATGTTTAAGTTCCCAGTTTAAGAAATAGAAAACTTACGAATCTTCTCATTTCATGAGAACGACCTGAGACTGCAATTACGTCTTCAATTTTTGAATTGCAGAATAATTAGATGCACTATCTAGTGTATATGAGATATCTATGGTCTGGGCCCATAACCTGTTCAATTTAGTTTATAATTTTAATATAAATCTTCGGAAAACAATATAAACTTTATGTTTGCGATGTTACTCTGAGCCATATCCACACCGGGCGAGCTTGAAAAATATGCCCGGCCAGGTGGGATTCGAACCTACGACCTTTGGAATACTAGCCCACTGTTCCGAAATATCGCTTACTCGAACCGTCCTGACCGCGTAGCTCAGTTGGAAGAACATTGGGCTAGTATTCCAAAGGTCGTAGGTTCGAATCCCACCGTGGCCGGGCATATTTTTCAAGCTCGCCCGGTGTGGGTATGCACTCAGAGTAACATCGCAAACATATTATTCACCTGAGTACACAACACCAACACAGAAAAAAAATATAAACTTTATATTTACATCTCGAGCACACGAACGTGAAACGTAACACGAACGTACAAAACCTGAGCCCGCGATAAACAACGCGGTTATTAATAAGAACACAGCTAACCCAATAATTATAATGTTATCAATTAAGACGTTAAAACGTTTCTAAACTGTTCAGTGCTATTTACAACACATTCCGGGGGAATTCACAGGATATAGAACTCACAGCCTGTGGCCAAAAACCAAAGTCTATTGAATACCCACAGGCACCCACAGCAAAACCTTCAAATTCAAATTACTTATAAAACAGACACAAATAACTATGAAACAATAACAATATCTGAAAGCCCTATACAAAACACTTTTAAAGCAAGTGAGAACCCAAAACTAAATAATATGTAACTCACAGACACATGCAGTGACCAAAGTCTGTTCAACTTCACTCTGCGCGCCGCAAAACCGGTTTCAACCACGAGGACCGCTTCAAACTAAAATTACCTAAACCTACAACAGACACAATTTTTTTTTAAATATCGGCAAGCCTTACTAAACACAAACAAACACTATTAAAGCACTATGAGATAAACTAAGAATATGGCTTTCTATATACTTATATTAAAACAGCTATGGCTTTCCATACGCAATCGTCGGCCAGCCAGCCCACCCTACTATTTTACCGCTTGTTGGAACTAATTAATAAGTACAAGTAGATTAATTTATTAGCCCTAGGAAATAAATACCGCGATTATAGTCAAGTTTTAAATTAAGGGTTAATTACACAAAAAAAGTGAAAAACTCTAATGAGGTTTGAATTGAGTATTATCTGTGATATGTGCTGTGAGAGTTTGCATATTAAGTTGTTAATTTGTGGTTTATTTGAAATCGTATAAGCGTAGGGACTATATAGATTATTAGTAATTCATTTACTGTATATTTGATATTCTCAATGTTTTACAGGAAACGATGTTGATCACAGTTGCATATTTTCTCGTCAATGTTCTTTGTGAGGCCGTATCAGCCAATCAGGCAGAAGGTATGGTGAATGTTGCTAAATATATATGTGGAAATATTGACAAATTTACAAGTTTGTGCTATATATACTCAAAGACGCTAATTATTAGTTTATTACAAGTGACAACCTTGTGGCAACTTGATAAAATAGCAGCATTGTTACAACTTGTTGACAAGCTTGCTACATATGCCTGTTGCGCACACATCTTGTTGACAAGTTGTGAGATTTTTACGTGTGTAGGCTAATATCCTTTATGCATTTCTCATGGCGCGTGCATGCTGGTCATGACGGTTATGATAATATGATTATTTACTGTTTTTATTACCATGAAATTTCAAGATAAGCAGAATTTAGTTCTTTTTCTCACGGAACTGTACTGGATTTCCTTCAAGTCCGAGTCCGATTCCGGGTCCAAAACCGAGTCCGGTTAAGCCATGGAGATTGCAATGTTACAAAACTGCATTTGACGAAGGTAAATTTACTACGCGAGGTAGGGTGTATTATCATAACCGCACTGAGAAACCTCTTCTGTTTACAATTAGTCATTAAGTATCGTATATTGAGAGATGTATAGTCTAAGTCTTTGAATAAGTGAATTGTAATTAACTAAACTAAATATCAGATAGTAAAACACCGAATAGAAGTTAAATTCTGTTTTAAATTAGTATAAATTCAGTATTGAAAAATGGCCTATGAGCATTCTGATTGGCTACCTCAACATTGACTCTGAGAGAATAGTTACTGCTCAGACTGCTCTGAGCAGTAACTATTGCTTTCCAAAAAATGGCTGAAAATCAAACGGAAGTAATAAAATTATTTATGCAAATTATATTCATAAAATAAACACGTGTATCAGTTGCATGTATTTCTAAATAAAACTTTTTCAATACTAAATTATTGTAAATTAAACAACTAGTCGCCCCAAGCTCGATGATTACAAGCCTTATTATTTACTTTTCCTTCGGCTCAGTGAATGTAAGCTTGAAATGTAGCTAGATAGTCTGGTTAATGCGTTTTTATAGTTTTGTTGTAATTATATGCAATTGCATGTAACAACAGACAGACAAGTAATTATGTCGAGAACATTCTCCACATAATTATTTGTGTCAGACCTTTGGCCATGGCAACGATGGGCAGTCTTTTTTCCTAAACTTTAAAATGTAGAATTAAAATTTTACATTGCAACGCAAAGATTTTGGCGTTGATTTTTCTTCCTATCCAATAGCGTGGAATGACGAAAATAACAACTGAAGATAGCAACGTTGACTTGTATATTGACGGATTATTATAATAAAATTCCGATAAAATTCCAGTTGCGAAGTACATTTGAGATCAGTTGCGTTTGTTACCTTAGTGCAAGCATGCTTAACAAACTACTAAAACGACGCGATAAAGGCTGGATAAACAACTTTTAGTTTCCTTGCAATAGATGCTTCGGCTACTCAACAAGACAACAGAAGGTAAACAAAGTAAAATGATTTATTTTCCGAAAATTTTATCAAATTACGGACAAGTTGTACGTAATTGTAGTATATATATTTATACGTATTTTTTCGAAGAACAGCTGAATATATGTCCAGCATTTGAATGAAACTTGTACTAAGCACTTGCCAGTGTTTTTTCGATATTTATATTTGGGTTTTTTTCGGATTTTGGTCGAAAAAAGTATATTTGGAAACAGAAGTAAATTCATTGACATTGTATTTTACTATTGTATCTTTAATATCGATAGCGTGCATATTTGGATTGTTTGGGTGCAGGTGTTTTGAGTTTAAAAATTGTCTTCGCTCCTCTGTTTGTCGCTAAAAAACCACGGTCAAGATATTGTAAAAAGCTGCCCGTTCCTGCAGCCAATCAGATTGTCGGAAATAAAAAATATCACTACGCATACAAAAATATAATCACATTTATTTATCTGCATTATCTTAGGCCTAATCCTATAACGCTAACCTGATAATGACTATTCAATATTGAGTAAAATACTTTGCATGACCCTGCTTGTGACGTAACATGCATGTCCACAATAATCCAAGAAGGCGGACAACTCATTGATGTGTGATGATTCCATTCGACAGTATTTCGAGAACTAAGCAACATTTGAAAAATCTGTGAAAAACTTTTTCCCTATAATTTTTAAAGTTCCTTCAAATCAGACAAACTAAATGCTTACTGCCACATCCTTTTAAAGCAAATTTTAATGTGGACATAATACCCATAGAGAAAACAAACGTCCGACAACCACAAAGACATATGGGCACAAGTTAATGCTGCAAGAAGAAGGCTCTTGTTGAATGTTATTACTAATTAAATATTATTACTTTCACCAGGAGATTATTATGTTTTCAGTTTGTATTGTGTTACAGTTTGTTCAATATGCCTGTCGACAGCAGGATAAATAAAAGATACCAAGCCTATTAGTATAGGTAATTATGCGATGGCGAGTACAATTAGGGATTAATAGTGCTCGTGATGTTTGGAAATTTTGCCAAGATTGGATGACCTGCTGGGGCGAGTCCAATTTGGCAAATTTCCAAACATCACGAGTACCATAAATCCATAATTGTACGAGCAACATCGCACGATTACTTGTTTATTATTAGCATGACAAAATTGTATACTTATCAATGTCAACATCATATTCTCTCGTCAAATCCCAGTCCTGCCATACTTTCAACCAAAATTTGGTGCTTTTGTCCGTATTTTCATTTAGTTCTTTTGTTAAAGCAAAATGTGGTGCTTTTGTTCGTACTTTCATCTAGTTCCTCCAGGGCAATTATATTTCACACTTGTATTTAAAATACCTTTCCGCCATTTTGTTTGTTGTGGGAAAATCATTAATTGTACTGCAGTACAATTAATGAAATAATTGTACTCCTCTCAACCAATCAGCATCCAGTAATTTTGTCATGCTAACAATAAATACAAAAATTCGCAAGGATAACAATAGGCCAAGCTAAAAACGATTAACAATTGGATAACGATTGGATAAGAAATGACCAAAGTTTCGGTATTGCTTTCCCGGGCAGAAAACCGAATGCATAATTAGGCTACCTGTAATTTGTTTCCTGAGGCTGAGGTATGCAGTCTCTGAGTGACCTCTTGTTTCATATACCTAACTAGAAATACATGCATGCAACAATCCCTCGCCTACATATTTTCTAAACATTGTTTCAACATGAAGTATTTGTAATTACGTCAACACCGAACGCATTGCCACGGCTCGCGTTGCCACGTCATGTTAGTAATAGCAACACGATAATTGTTTTTTTAATTTTTTGTACAAACTTGCCAAAATTAAATAGATGAAACTTGAGCAGTTTTAAATACAGAACTATCAATTTTTAAACTATAGAAAGCAGGTATATTATTTTGGTTTCTATGGACTTTATTTTAATCTAAAATTCAAAATGAAACTCGAAGTAAAACGTTTTTAATTGTGAATAGAATTTGCTGATATTAAACTCTTCAACTCGAGCTTCAACTTATTACTCGCACTTTGAAATGAAATATATGTATTTTCGTACTCTTATGGCCCCAATGAAAATACTTTGCTTTTCGTTTTATTAGGAAATAAAAAACTTTCGCATAAAATGCATAGGAAAGACTTGAACAACAAGAACAAAGTCAACCTCGTTCCCAGAATGTCTATATGATAACACAAAGTCATAAATAGACAATTGAAACAAACTTGGCCTATACTTTAGGATTTTTCATAGTAAATCAATTCTTATGAATATTTACGTTTAAAAACTGAAAAACGTTTTACAATTTGTAATGTGAAACGATTTTCCAAGCTTTCTTTGATACATGTATTTTTTACATTTTTGCCTTCTTCACTCCTGGAAAACAGCCATATTTTGAGATCAGTGAAACGACCACCCACCCAACACCGAACCACACACGGTAACCCACGCCCGCGATATTAATGAACTTTAGACTTCCCTAATCCTTTCGTTTCCCCGGTTGTAAATAGCCGAGCGGAATTAGTACCCTCGCCCAGGCTTACGCCCGGAACGGCGCTCCGCGCTGTTGCCTCGGGGACAATCAGAATGCATTCCACTTGGAGGTAATAATGCTAGTCTAAATTTGACTGAAGTAATTTTATGTTCTACAGTGATCAAGACCAAGTCAGGTTTGATACGAGGCATGATCCAGTCTTCTAGTTTATCTGGTATCAGGGTCCAGAAGTTCCTTAATATTCCGTATGCTGAAGCTCCAGTTGGCCAGCTGAGGTTTGAAAAACCTCAACCCAAAAGACCTTGGAAAAGTAATGTTTCAATTTGCATTATTATCTATTTAAAAGAATTTAAATTTAAATTTCAGGTAAATATATATGACTTATATCCCGCGTTCTGGGTTTATAACCATGAAACCCATATTTATCTAGGTAACCACAATGTTGGTAAATTTGTTCACTTTGCCTTCAGTGGTGCCGCCAGCTCGATAATTGGGGGGGGGGGAAGAATATTCATATATTTGTGTTGACAGACAATAAAGACAATTAATTGTTTCAAAAAAGTTAATATTGTAGAACACGAAGATATAAATATTCGCCACCCCCAATTATCGAGCTGGCGGTGCCACTGTTTGCTTTCTAGACAGCGATCAAGAATCAAGAATCGTCATTTTACCCTTTTACTTTGGTCGTTGTTGGTGGGCTTATGCCTCCCACTTAACTTTTAGGGCTATAGGCCTCAGTGGAGCTTTGCCCCCCAGCACTCTTATACCGCCGCCCCTGCAGCTCACAACTGGATCCACCGATCCCCATTAAGGCCTTCTTTCAAACACTTTTAACTAGAAAGGCAAGAATACTTTCAACAGGAAACGTGTTTTTTGTTTAGACATATTAAATAGTACCGAAAATCTAATCGCATGTATTCAACCATGGCAACCTGGAGTGACAATCACTGAAGACTGTTTAATACTCAACGTGTGGACACCATTTCCACGTCCTCAGAATACGAGTGTTATGGTAAGGTTTTTGTTGGTTGAAAGAGTGTATGACACGAAACTGTCATTGTTTTAAACAGAAGAGCTTTTAAAACTGTACGGTGGCTTGTTTAATCGATCAATTGAAATTTAATCAGTAAGCCAAAAAACCTTGTATTTTGATAATGGCATATAGTAAAATAATTTTTTTCTTGATTTGGCGCACGTGCTCAATCAAGTTATTGGACTCTTGGGATGTCAAGAGAGCATTTAAGCGCTAGAGTTGGTCTCGACTAGCGCTTCGACCAAGTATTGCGCTTTATCGTACTCTTCCAATTTCTTGCGTGCTCAAGGCTCGATGCCAAATTATGACAAAATTCTTAATTCGTAAATATATTAATTTCGTACGTACGATGGATAACAGACAGGTTCTTTAACAATCATTTAGTGCAACAAGTTTGTTAATTGTCGTCATCACGTTACTGTCCTACCCATTCTTGTTCCCAGGCTTTGCCGTTTTACATGTCTGAGTTTCCTTTTAATTAATAAACAATGGAATCAAAGTGATGTCATATTGACGTCATTTCTATGTATTTTTTATGATGACGTCTTTTACATATTGTGATTAATGCCTGTGTGTAAATAATGGCTGATACCCGTGTCAGTTGTAAATAGAACTCAACAGTCCACAAACTTTTATCATTGTTATGAGTTTAATCATGGACAAATACATTTTAGTTTGCTTGGATTATATGTATGTTTTAGTTAGCAAACCTACGCGGGCTCAATACGTATGTTCACGTAATGTTGTTGTTGTTGTTGTTGTTGTTGTTGTTGTTGTTGTTGTTGTTGCTGTTGTTATTGCTGTCGTTGTCGTTGTCGTTGTCGTTGTCGTTGTCGTTGTCGTTGTTATTGTTGTTGCAAAGCGACATAATTTCGAAATTAAACCTTATCTTCAATTCACTAGAAATACATGCATGCAGCAACCCCCGGCCTATATTCTCCAAGTATTAGTAATTGGCCAACACTAAACCACAGAGAAGAGATAGTACAGAGAGGAAACTGACACCTAGCCTCGATAACCTGAATTTTTGTGTCACGCGTTCCACGCGCCACGCAAAATCTTCCAGCCAGTTTTTTCCTCTGCATGGTCAAAATTTAATAAAATAGTGAATTAGTATAATTTTCTATAGTTAATAGACTGAATATATCGGCGTGACATAATTTTCCGCGTATTTCCTCTCTGAACTATCTCTTCTCTGTGACTAAACGAAGCTCACGTAATGTGTTGCCATAACTACACTACCGTTTTTAGACGTTTAATCTTTTTTATTTCATTTTGTAAAAAATGGCAAAAATGGTTGAAAGATTACTACTTTTAATCATACAACAATCAATTCCCGATATATACAATTTAGGAATATTCCCTTGCATTTTATGAGCTTTGATTTAATGCAAAATGTAATTATTCTAAAACGCTCCGTTAAATGTTTTGGGATGTTCATTCAACTATTAAAGTGCATATGACATGATTTTTTTATTTTCTTAAATGAAAGAACACTTTAAGTTGTAGTGTAACTTATTTTTCAGTTTCTTGTTTTTATAGTTTGTTCCCGAGATATTTAAATTTGTTTGGTATGTAAATGAGTGGGAATATGTCCGCTAAATTATGACGTCTCGTTGGTTGCAAGCTCTTCAAAATGGTTGAATATCACGGCTATCATCCAAGATAATATTTCTAACTTCACTAACTGGTAAATGTAATAAAATACTGGAGAAAAACGTGAACTGATATCTACAGTTTTTAAAGTTAATAAATTTATAACCAGTGTAAGTTGAGCTTGCAACCAACGTGACGTCATAAATTAGCGGACATATTCACACTCATTTACATACCAAACAAATTGAAATATCTCGGGAACAAACCATGAAAACAAGAAACTGAAAAATAAGTTACACTACAGCTTAAAGAGTTCTTTCATTTAAGAAAAGAAAAAAAATTCATGTCATATGCATTAAAGACCATGTAAAGTCCGTAATGTAAACAAACGCTTTGTTTACATTTTGAACTCAGTGCTACATTTGTAAATATGATTAGATACATATTATACTGAATTTTGAACATTTTTCTGGTTCGCTATGCTTGTAAATTGATACAGACTAGAGATTCAATTCAAGAGATGTTCAAAAAATGCGAAATATTAATAACATTCCAACGGTCGGATCCCGACCATTGGAATGTAAGCCTGTGGTATGCGCAGAACGTATGCGCAGAACGGACTTTACATGATCTTTACAGTTGATTTCACGAAGCTTTGGTGGCGCCAATTGCGAGGTTGGTTGGGAATTTAGGAAATATAAACACGAGATCATCAAGTTGATTGGAAACCGGCCAATCCAGCAAATTCGGAAGTTTCGCATCAAATTATCGAAATTCGTTATGAAATTCCGAACCAGAGGAGGAATGAGGGTCTTCCCGAAATGCAACGCGCGAATCAGTGCGGCTGATTATTATTCAAGCTATTTATTCTCAACGCGCCGTTCGATTAAAAACTGTTGAAATATATTGCGATTTTTGCCGTAAAGATCTCGTTTTCTCAAAACTATGTTTCGATAGCCTTTTTGTTTAGTTATTTAATAAAAGAAGTTTTGACTAAATTTGTATATATATCGCATTTTACATTGTTAAATTCCCATTGTATTTATGCAACGTTTGGGGTGTTGATAATTACATCAGTGAATTCCGGAATGTTTACTCTTTATATTGACACTTTAAAACATGCATTTACTCCATAAAGGCCCTGTTACACGGTGAAATTTTTCATGCAACTTGTCTCGCAATGTTTAAAAACAGATTTTGATAATGCATTGCAAGAGGTGTTACACGCTGCAACGATTTTCATGCAACTCGCAACGATATGGGACAGAGGCATGCGAAGAGACTAGGGAGAGGCGCTATTTGGCGCCAAATTTTAATTAAAGTAAAGCGTGTACTGGGGAGAGCCAATAGGAACTCTCCAAGCTATAAACATTGCGGGACAAGTTGCACAAAGCCATGTTACACGCTGCAATGCTAAAAATAATTAGTGCAATCGTTGCCAAAAGTAGAACCGACTTCTACTCTGTGCAATGCTTCATGCAACTTGTCTCGCAAAGATTTTGACCATTGCAAGGCATGTTAAACGGTGCAATGACTCGTGCAACTTGTCTCGCAACGCCATTGCGAGACAAGTTGCATGAAAAATTGCACCGTGTAACAGGGCCTTAAAACCGAAGAGTTATCGCGGTTTGAAAATGAGCTATTTTAGCTATTATTGAATAATAGCAAAAATAGCTCATTTTCAAACCGTGATAATTCTTCGGTTTTATGGAGTAAATTTATGTTTTAAAGTATTAATATAAAGAGTAAACATTCCTGAATTCACTGATGTAATTTTATTTTAGTTTCCTTGTAAAAAAGTACAATTTACTCCAAAATATTTCAATGCCACTTTTCCAACACCCAAAACATGCATATTATATATACAAAATTATTCAAAACTTCTTTTATTAAATTACTAAACAAAAAGGTTATCAAAACATACCTTTGAGAAAACTAGATCTTCACGGCAAAAATCGCAATACATTTCAACAGTTTTTAATCGAACGGCGTGTTGAGAATAAATAGCTTGAATAATAATCAGCCACACTGATTCGCGCGTTACATTTCGGGAAGACTCTCATTCCTCCTCTGATTCCGAACCAAGTTCGCAGGCAAGTTCGCAAATTGCAAACGATTTTGAGGGTAAATTTTAAAAACTAAACTTATTGTATTAAACTTATTATAATTTTAAACCTGAAATTATTATTATTATGATATTATTTATTATTAAATGAATAACTTTAATACAATAAGTTTAGTTTTTAAAATTTACCGTCAAAATCGTTTGCAATTTGCAAACTTGCTTGCGAACTTGGTTCGGAATTTCATAACGAATTTCGATAATTTGATGCGTAACTTCCGAATTTGATTGGTCGGTTTCCAATCAACTTGATGATCTCGTGTTTGTAGTTCCCAAATTCCTAACCAACCTCGCAATTGGCGAGGCCAAAGTTTTGTGAAATCAACTGTAAAACTGTTTTTGCGATATTTTTTGACTTAAAACAAAATAAAGGATTAAATTATTGAATAATTTCAGTGAAGTCTTTTTCTTAAACTAAACAGGGTAATTTTACAGCTAACTCCAGACGAAAGGCCTTCGCTCGAAACGTGGAAATTTTCCTAGACTTATATTTTTCATGTAGTTGCATCCCTAATTATGAAAGCTTCTTTATATTGATAAGGAAAGCTGTGCATGTTTTACGTAGTTCTTCAATTGCAAAATTGCTTGAAAGCTTATTTCATGTATGAAACTGTTTTCCAAGTACTTTACTTTTTTTTAAAAAAATCAAATTTTGCTCATACCGTTTCTGGCTAAAAGCCATATTTTGGAGATCAGTTTGGAAGCCCATCCATAAACCATGAACCAAAACACCACTTTTTGACATAGCTAATGCTATCGGGTGTAAATAGCCGAGCGGAATTAGTAACTTCTGTCTGAACCAGGCTAACGCGCGGAACGGCGCTTGCGTTGGCTTGGAGAAAACAAGGTAAAATAAAATGTGAAACATTGTTTTTGCGATTTGATCGCCTGACTCCAGTACTTCAAGGTGGCAGTGCATCCACATTCCATCCTAGTGCCGGCAAAAACGCGCAAAAAAACCTTGCTCAAATGAAGCAATGTTTATTTTGTTATTTATTAAATACACGCTACATGTCCCTATTGTTGTTCTTGTTGTCGTCGTTTTCGTCGTTCTTGATGTCGTTGTCGTTCTCGCTGCCGTTGTTGCTGTCGTTGTACCATATCGAAATGCTTTTATAAAATAACATGTATATAACGCGTGCTCTGATTGGTCGAAACTTGAGTTTGGATCAGGCTATACAAACGCGAAAATTTAAAGTGCCTTTGCGAAAATTTCAAAATTTGTTGTTTTTTATAAAACAATTACTTTATGGTTTCTGTGTTTGGATGGCTTGATCCGTTTTTCTTAACTCTCGCAACATTCCCGCGTGTTTAGATCAGCTCATCCAAACACGGAAACCATAAAGTAATTGTATATGAATGATGTAGTTTATGTTTCCTCTAGGTTTGGATTCATGGTGGAGCGTTTCGGGGCGGAAACTCCGGCAGCTATGTTGGTTCAAATTTTGTAGCAGTCGGTGACGTGATACTGGTGACGATCAATTACAGATTATCAGCTCTTGGATTTCTCACGACTGGAGATAACAGGATTAAAGGTTGTTGCTTGTGATGTTACTCTGAGTGCGTATCCACACCGGGAAGGCAGGCTTGAAAAATATGCGCGGCCACGGTGGGAATCGAACCTACGACCTTTGAAATACTAGGTCCTATGCTTTGCCAACTGAGCTACGCGGTCAGATCGGTTCGAGTATGTGATATTTCGGAACTGAGTCTAGTTTCTTCGATATCAATGTAATTTAATAATCATGTTACTTGCTGTGCTGATGTAATGTACTCAGGGGAATAAGATGCTTGTTGATGTTGGCGCAGTCGTCAGGGCAAGCGCCTTTCACCTCTGAAATCGGGGGTTCAATTCTTGCCACAGACTCATGTAAAAGAGTCGTGGATTTTATCCGGGCACTCCGGTTTTCTCCAACAGGAAAAGTTGACAGGGTGGGTTAGGATAAACACAGTTACGAAAGTAATATCTCAATTGTTGTAAAGATAAATAGTCCAAGCTAAGTGAGTAACATGACCGTATTACTTCATGTAATCGGTCACTGAAAAGCCCAATAGGGGAGTAACCTAAATAATAATGTAATGTAATGTAATGTAATTACTTTCGCCAGGAGGTTATATAATCATCTGGGTTTTTACCTCCGCCAGCAGGTTATGTATTCATCTGGGTTTGTATGTATGTATGTGTGTGTGTGTGTGTGTGTGTGTGTGTGTGTGTGTGTGTGTGTGTGTGTGTGTGTTTGTCTGTGAGCACGATAACTCAAGAAATACCAAATATATTCATCCGAAATTTTTTGAATGCATTTCCCATCGGCTAAGGTAGAACTGGGTAAAATTTGGTTGAATTTGGTTAACAATTGAACGAGAAATGAACAAAATTTTGTCTTGCTTTACCCAGTCAATTAAAAAAAAACGCACTGAATGCGTAATTAGGACGTGTATAATGTATGCACGCAGTACTAAGAAGACAATAATGATATGATAAACCTCATTAAGCTTCACCCTCATTATTTATTGTCTTAGTTGCATTTCACACGACCGAAATTCAATGCGGGCGGAAGTATGCAGTCTCTGAGTGCCCTCTAGTTTAATCATGTAATTATCAGTTTCCCGTTTAAACTTAAATAAATCGTTTGGAAGAAAAACCTACAGGGATGGAAGAATTTACTCGACACCTGGACACTGTAGCTCAGTTGTTTACGCTGCACCGAAATCGCAAAGCCCTAGGTTCAAAAGATTCTGTTATTATGAGTTCGCAACATGCATATCCATAATAATCCAGGATGGCGGACAGCTCACTGATTTATATTCAATGATTTTAATAAGGTCAAAATATTTTGAATACCAAGCAAGATTTAAAAAAGTTGTAAGACTATAGTATAGTTCTTCACGCAACTTCAAAGTTCGTTAAAATAATAGAAACAATTTTCATTGTCATACAGTGTTTGTTTCATATTGTTCTTATGTGATCTTCAGGTAACTTCGGTCTATATGATCAACGTTTGGCGATGAAATGGGTTAAAGAAAACATTGCATATTTTGGAGGAAATCCAAAATCAATCACCATATTTGGTCAGAGTGCTGGAAGTGCGAGTGTCTCAGCACATACGTTGTCTAAAGGTAGCTGGGAGTTGTTTGACAGAGCGATCTTGGAAAGTGGAAACATGCTTATGCCGTGGTCGATAATGACAGATTCCCAAATCAAAGATGGTTTAAAATGGTTTCTAGGAAAAGTCAATTGCAACAGCAATGAAAATATGTTGGAGTGTCTACAAAATGTGACTGAAAACAAATGGAAGAGCGTGGCAAATAACAAGGAATTTGGGGGAATATGGACTGGTCCAAATGTTGATAGAGAATTCATTTCTGATAAACCACAAAAAATATGGGAGGATAAAGACGTCAAACACCAAGATATAATTATTGGAAATACTAAAGATGAAATGTTTCTGGTCCAGCAATATTTATTGCAAAAGTCTACGAACATTCGCTATTACTTGAATCATTTCGAGGAATTACTAAAGATAAATTTCAAGAATTTATCTAAAGCGGTGTATGAGAAAGCGAGAGAATTGTACAAACCAAAATGCATTCCTTCTTATTTGGAAGCGTTAAAATCGAGCGTGGCATTTGAATCAGATCTAATCATGATTTGTGGGAGCAGACAGGAGGCTAAACTAAGATCTAAACACATGAATACAACAAAAGTTTATGCATTTCAATATTCTCACGCCCCACTGGTAAACTATATACCTTCAATGTACCCTTATGGAGTATTTGGATTTGCAGCCCATGCACTCGATACTACGGTAAGAAATTCTGCTTTTTACACTGATCGAACGAGCCAATGTTATAAAATGAGGCTTTCCGTCTTTGTTCGTTTTTAGTTTTTTTTTTGTTGCGCAAACTTGACAGCAAGTCAAAGCATCGCAGGCTCATGACAGATTGCTCCAGTGACTTAGGGAAGGGTCACATATCGATTTTGTCCACGAGAAACGTCATATGATCGCATGGGGTGGGGTGGGAGTGGGGTTAGGGGTGGGGGTGGGGGTGGAGTGGGGGTGGGATTTGCAGTTGTGACGTTTCTCTGTAAAACATCATGGGAAAATTGGATCGTTTTTTCGAAAACATTAACGTTTCGGAATCATCTTTGCAGAATATCAAAAGAAAAGAACTAACAAACAGCAGTCTACACATTCGTATAATACCATACCTGTTCTATACATTTATATTATTACGCCTTCCTTGCATTAAAAACACTCAAATTAAATTAAAACCGCGCTACAGTTGTCAATATTTCATGCAAAAAGTGTTTTTAGAAACGTTGGAAGTCTTCATTGAAGTTCAATTATATTAATAGAAAACATATGTCAGCAGATGATATATAGTCCTTGCGGAAGCATCACCAATTTGCTGATAAGCAAACACTTCTTTCTGTATATAATGCTATTGTTCGCCCATATGTTGATTACTGCTGTGATGTGTGGGATGTGTTTGGAGAAACGCAATCAAAAAGACTCCAAGAACTACAAAACAGAGCTGCTCGTATTATTATGAATATAAGTAATGGCATAAATCATTCTGTTGCATTGCACGCATTGGCTTGGAAGCCATTTAAAACAGAAAGGAAGAAAAGTAAAGCAAAAATCATGTACAAATTATTGAACAAAATGGGACCGAAATCACTCACTAATCTCTTCACATATAAAAGTGAGGTGACAAACTGCAAACTTCGGAACATTCAAGTAGTCTTTGTTTACCACAACCGCGTACTAATAATATGAAAAACAGTTTCATGTATGACGGAGCACACCTTTGGAATTTTATTCCTAATGAAATTAGAGACAGCAAATCCTTTTCTTCCTTTCGAAAGAAAATCGCTACTCACATTGATTAATCAAAATTATTACTTATATTGATACCTAATTGAAAATATAGAAGTTTATATACCGGTAAATAGATTATTACTTGCATGTATAGTTGATTTTGTTAGTTCATATAATACTATATATCTTATATAATTTTGTAAATAGTTTTTAAAGTTATTTTCTGTATACTTTTTCGCACGCCCCTCGTGGAAATCAGCTTCGGTTGAAGGGGTTAGCGTGATTAAATAAAGTTTTTCTATCTATCTAATAGCCGACCGTAAAAAATAGTAGAAAATTACCTTATGTGTATTATAAGAACAAAATATCTATAACTATGTGTGACGTTTCTAAGGGAATGAGGGGTTGCGGGTGGGATCTCCAGGAAAACGTCCATATGACGTTTTTCATGGACACAATGGGAGACTTCCCTTATGTATTTCCGTTTTAAAATGGCGGTCCTTCATTGAGTTAGGCCAGTGGGCAAAACGTTTGAAACAATTTTGTTAACGTTTTCAACTGAATGGTACCTGTTTTCTATGCATTTTGATTTGTTTCGAACTCTGGACTTTCTCGTAAGATTAATTAACGAATTTTTGTTTGTGCAAAGACTCCGAAAATCCGAAAATGGGATCGTTAAATTCCCGTAAAATCGTAAATCATAATAATTATACTGTGTATGAAAAAGTCAAAGGCAAGTTCAAAATAAAAAGGTTTAACTACCCAACGTAGTTTTAATAGATATCTACTATAAATGTCGGTTTTAGGCTTTTGTTAGTGTTTCGTTTCGCATCCACTCCTGTGAACCAATCAGATTGCAGGAAACACCATTGATTTCAAAATAAAGATAATAAAGTGCGAGAAATCCTAAAGCATAGCCTATAGGGCAAGTTTGCTTCAATTGTTTATGTATATGACTTTAATTTTTATATAGACTTTGTTCTTGCTGTTCAAGTCTTTCCTATGGATTGTATGCGAAAGTTTCTTAGTTAATTAAATTAAATTTTGTAGAAGTTCATGATAAAAGGAGAGCAAATTAGCGTCCTGTACGAATTATATGCCCCCAGTTTGTTCGGCAAACAACGCCAGTCGGGCAATATTCGCTTAAAAGTCGGGCAATATTGGCTTATTATATAAATGAATGGGACAAATTCTGTCAATCGAGGAACTCAAATATATCAGGAAAAAATATATATATATGTATATATATATACATATATATATATATATATATATATATATATATATATATATATATATATATATATATATATATATATATATATATATATATATTTATTCCGCTCCTAAATTAGCTGACGTCAATTTCCAGAATTTGGAAGGTAAATTCTGATTGGTCGACGTAGCGGAATTCAGTTTGGCGCTCGGGTAAGCAGACAGTAGGTTTTCGTCGCTTGGCGTAAGAACAACAACGTATGTGAGCAGCCCCCCCTCCCCCCCCCGTCGACAACAGTTTTGGAAAGTTTTTCCGGAAAATTTTTTTGACAACTCGGGTACAATCCGAAAAAGTCTGGCAAATTTCTTTCCGCCCCCCCCCCCCCTAATTTTTTCCTTCCCGTACGCCCATGATTATATTTATTTCATTTCAAAGTGCGAATAATAAGTTCAAGCTCAATCAAGTTGAAGAGTTTATTAATATTTAAATTTCGTTATGACTTTTACGTTACAATAAAGCCCATACAAACCAAAATCATATAGCTACTTTATATTTTTTAAAAATTGACAATTCTGTTTTTAAAAGTGTTCAAGTTTTATCTATTTTTTGTAGGTTTGTACAAAAATTTAAAAAACCAATTATCGTGTAGCCATGACTACAATGACGTGGCAACGCGAGCCTGCATTCAGTGTTGGCGTAATTACGAACACTTCATGTTGAAACAACGTTTGGAGAATATAAGCGAGGGGTTGTTGCATGCATGCATTTTAAGTATGATACTAAATAATACTTGTTTGGTAAATTGTGTAACAAGAATCGGATGAACGAAGCAAGTAATTTCAGAGCAACATTCAAAATAAGACGGATTCAAATATAAGACAAACTTTTTTGGATCTTGTTAGATTAATAGATCTTCCACGGTCGATAGAATGACCGCCAGCAGGAATTTGAGGCAGTACTGGTATAGTATATGCCAGCAGTATTGTATAGGAACAGTAGTGTTTGCTTATGCTCGCTTGTTAATATTTCAGGAGCGTCTCTATATAGTTTACGTTATAAGTGTCTTATAAAGGAGCTCTCAGAGAGGCTATAACTTCATGTCTTGCTGTTTATGAATGCTGACCTTAATCGTTACCCTAACCGTTGATTCTAACTCACAAATATATAACGAGAATAGGAATTCATATCCCAGAATAATACATTTGAAAATGTACTTATTTTGAAGTACAATTAATAAATATAATGCTGCAAGTAATATAGTGATTTTCCATTGTATTTTAGTCGGTATTTGGTCTGCCAATTAATGATACGAAGTTCCGGTCTGATGATCGAACACTCTCTATGAGAATGTTATTATATTGGACAAATTTTGCTAAAACCGGGTAAGTTTGAAGTCTACTTCGACTGGTGTATTTTGTCAAGTTTACGGTTTAGAGGGCATAGAAAAAAATTAAAATCGGTTTAATTACTTTTTTAAAACGACTAATAACAAATACATATTCTTGCTTTTCAAAACATAATTACAGAGGTTCAGATTTGACTAATCTCCCTATACCGCTTCCGTTACCTCCCACAGGCTTAATACGTATTTCATTGGTTGGATTGATTGGAAAGATTAAATGCTAATGATAACCGTACAAACGGTACTGGAAGTCAAAATCCGAGCGTTTCTTTAAGATATTCACAACATTTATCATAGGTTTCAACAGCATTTTCTGCAAAACAAATATACTTGCAGGGAGGTGAGTCTGGAATTGGACTCAGGGCCGTTTTTAAGGATTTTCCCGTGGGGGACATTTTTGAAAAGGGACCTTTTTCTGAGATAATATATTAGAGGAGAATAGCAATGGCTGAAGGCCACGTGTGTGGCCAATATACCACGCATGATTGGGGCGGGTCTGGGGGTGTACTCTCCCAAAAATGTTTTGAAAATTGAATCCCGGAAATGTCATTTCCTGCATTCTGAGCATCCAAATTTGCTCCAAAATGTATGCTAATAATACTTGTATTTGAAATAAATTCAGGGAAAAATGCACAAAAAGTAAAAAAAAATAACCATCATTTATCAATACTTAGAGGAGGACAGCAATGGTCACGTGTGTGGAGGTGTACTCCCCAGTCAGAAAATTTTTGAAATTGGAAGCACGGAAATGCCATTTCCTGCTTTTTGAGCATCCAAAATTTATGCTAAACTATACTTGTATTTGAAATAAAAGAAGGAAAAAATGCACAAAAAGTAAAAAAGAATATTAACCGTAATTTATCATTATAATCCCCATTAAATTTTTGAAACTTGAAACCCGGAAATGCTATTTCCTGCATTTTGAGTATCCAAAAAATTAAAAAATTATTAACAATAATTTATCATTACTTAGTGGTAGAAAAACGTAATAATTTAAATCGATTTTGTTAAAAAAGGATAAAGCCTAAAACTTACTATTTATCTATTTGTTAATCTTCGCTGGTTTGTTTGTATAATTTTAGGAGAAAGGGACTTTTCCCGAGGGAGGAAATGTGATTTCGTGTGGGGGGGGGGCACAAGAGGGGACTGGGGGGCATTTGTCCTCCCCAGCCTGTATGTTAAAAAAGGCCCTGATTGGACTCACCATTCCCATGTTAAAAAGTATCAACTCAATCAATTTCTAATGAAATGAACAATGATAATGAATTGAAATTTGCATAACGGGGCCAAATCATCGAGCTCGCTACGCCACTGATTCTGCGTAAACATTGCCAACATTTAAACCTGCCCGTGCCGAACAAATTTCGGCAGCCATCTTTCTTCTCTTCCACTTTGAATACAGAATATTCTATTTCTATCAAACAAAAAAAATATAAAACATTTAAAAACAATTAATTTATTTTGTATTTAAATGTTCGTCTGAAATTTGTTCATAATGGCCGCCGCCAAAAAACATCAATCTTGAACGCTCCTCCTAAACATACGTCAGCAGGTGGGTTCGAGATTGAACGCACCTCCTCGTAGCCAATAAGACCGCTGCCATTGCGCTAGGTGTGAGATAACATTGAGAACCCACCTAGCGCAAGGTGAGATCTCACCAACCACATTTCTCAAGCATATGAGCACAATTTAATATCTAATCCCACTTCTTTTATACAGAGATCCAAATTCAGGCACCAGAACGTTACCGATTGTGGTAGACAAGGTCGACATTTTACCATTATGGCCTCAACATAGCGATATTAATGAAGAATTTCTAGACATGGAAAGTTTTTCTCGGATGACCGTAAGAACAAAATTACGTGAAAAACATTGTGAATTTTTGAATGATCCTGAAGGATTTATTGAAAAAGAAACGAGTGGTTAAACAAAAAAATTCATGACCCTGCGTGTTTGGCTTACCATGGTGGCATTTTATGTTATTTTTTATTTTATCAACTCTGTCAGTGAACTTTATTGTTCGAGGGCAACAGTAAATATGTTGACTATTACTATAATTACAGTGGAATTTACATAATACATAATTATAAAGATTTCATTGCCATAGTTTGTACTTCACTCAGTGTAGCTTTTATGCACAGATTCTTATACCAACTGTCTGTTATATAAACTAATTTAAAAAATGGTTTTCATCCTTGTTTATTCTAAAATTCATTTCGACCAAGGTAATCACTCCTTTCTTTTATAAAGGTTATGCAACTTAACATGATTTTTTATCACATATAAAACCAATTAGCCCTAACACATTTGTCTTTGTCTTTTATCATGAATTATTAATGAGATTTCAAAACAAGTGTTCTTACCTTCCCGGCCGGACTAGATCTTGTCTGACCATTGCTGTTGCAAAGTGTGTCTCAGTACAATGCCAATGAGCAACAATTATTATTATTATTAAAGCATTTATTTAAACACAATGGTAAATTTACAGCATAGCTGATATGGTCGTGCAATGGCATAATAATTATAACCTCTGTTTGTTTACTGCAATGATGTAGTACTGTTTAATAAACGAGCATGCAGGAGTGATTTATTAGGTTTAAAGCCTGCTCATTCAAACATGACAACAAATTCAATAGATTTACTGCCTTATTAGTATTCTTTATACAAAGAATACTAATGAGGACAGGAATACAATAGATACTGCCTTAAAATTACGGGAAACACTGAGTATTTTAATGAAATATAAAACAACGGTAACTCCGAAAATAAACGTTTTATGATGACTGAATCTTAGTCGAAAGCTAGAATATTAAAATTTTTATTTTCGAAGTTACCGTTGTTTTATATTTTAGATGCTGCCTTATTAGTATTCTTTACATAAAGAATACTAATTGCAAGTGTTTTATCAGGTTTAAAGCCACTGCACGTGACATATTATGCCAATAAGCTTATGAATTATTAATGAGTGTTTGAAGCATGGAATGAACTTTAGAGGGATGTAACCATGAACCTCAACGTTCACAAAACAAAGCTTCTAGCATCATTTTACAACGTAAAAGAACAGGAGAATCTTCAAAGGTTTTAAACTGAGGATTCAGCCAGGGGGGGTTTGTGGTATCCTAAATACCCGTTAAATATGGATCAAAATACCTATTAATATGGTCAAAATGTTACAAAATATACTTAAAACTGCCAGAAGACTTATACCTAATACCCCAAAATAGTCATAACATTGAACTAAATAACCAGTATACTCGCATTAAATTTCCCATTAGATATCCTATATAGGCCTACCAAAAACCCCATGACTGACACTTAAAAGTTAAAACTGGATGAATTTAGAGAATAGAATATCAATGCTTACCTGTATCTTGGTTTTTAAATGTTTGAACATGTCGGTTCCTGAATATCTCTGTGGATATTTTTATCAAAATGTGAATATACATAATTATAATACATAATTATATAATACTTTTGGGTATCTGGAGCATGGCAGTTTAATTTTTTCCGTGGTGAAATTAATTGCTGAGTATACTTTTTGTCATTAACATTCTGTCATAGTCGAGGAAATTTACCTATTTCACTTTTTAATATATTGACTTATCTTAGTTTTATATTGTTGTATGATTACATATTTAATTACAATGTAGCATTTGTAAACTCTGAACGCTGATTGGCTAAGAGCCGTTTTTTCAATTCAATTCAAGCAATTTTTAATCAGGAAGCCTACGTCACAATAATTTGTTTTTCAGTAGGGTCCTGCTAAACTACAAAAAACTTTACAGTGTTAATTAAATATAATAGACGGCCGGCCAAGTCATCAATTTGTACAACTTGATGGCAACTTTATGTTAGAAGCTGGTAACAGGCATTTTCTTATAGTTTAAGCCTTGGTGAACAAGACTGTGTGTGTTACCACTTCTGATTTTTGCTTTATAGCCAAAAAATTGAGAATTTTAAAATTTTGCCTATTAAATTACTATATGATCGGAAAAAATGTAAAATTTCATGTTTTCTTTTACGAAAAATAAGCTATACCACTAGAAAGAGCGTAAAAAACTGTATATAAGACAAGTAGGTGAGTTCTACGTTTTTCGAATCCTATTTCGAGTTTTTAATGTTAAAAAATGCAGAAATGACCAAATTAATGCTAATTAGTACCCATTTTGCCAACTTTAACCATCTTTAATTCAAAATCAGCTTGAAAATCGCACTAGTCGCTTAAGTTATCTTATATATAGTTTTTTACGCTCTTTCTAGTGGTATAGTTTATTTTTCGTATAAGAGAACACGAAATTTTACATTTTTTCCGATCATAGTAATTTAATAGGCAAAATTTAAAAATTCTCAAATTTTTGGCTATAAAGCAAAAATCAGAAGTGGTAACACACACATTCTTATTCACCAAGGCTTGAACTATAAGAAAATGCCTGTTACCAGCTTCTAACATAAAGTTGCCATCAAACTCTCTTTAGAGGCACTTTTTGCCACCTTGGCCGGCCGACTACTTGGGATAGCTTTCGTAGAATTGCTTCATGCCAAACTCCTGTCCAATCATCTCTCGGATAGTTGAAAACAGGCCCTCTACATCATCCAATGTTCCACTTCTTGGGTTAGCGTGCTTTATCCCTCTCATTGTGTAATCCAATGCGTGTAGAATAAAGCCTTCAAGGTTTGCAACTAATGCAACAACTACCTCCCTTGTTAACCCCCTGATACCTTTAATGGGTCTAAAAAGGATAAACAAAAAATTTTGTATCAAAATATCCTCATATTATTGCATAAAAAATCAACGAAAATTTGCATGTACAATAAAGACTTCCCGAATTTGCTTGAATGCACACGAGACAATAATATGAAATCAAGGTGGGCAATGATATCAATTGTAAAATAGTAAGTTTTCATTGCCAGCCAGCAAATTCGGGAAATTTCTATTGTTGCATCTGCTTGACATATGTTAACCCATTGGCGGCTGAACTGGCCACATAACAGATTTTATCATGTCTATAAACGCCATAGTCGGTCAGACGATTTTACTCGTAAAGGGGACACCTCCTGGCGGCAATGGGTTATAAAAGAACTGTACATATCACATTAGAAATCCCAGGAGGGGGGGGGGGGTAAATCCAAAAAAAAATACCCCCAAAGAAAAATGCCTGGAAAAAAAGTCACATAGCCATTATGTCAGAGGAGGTTAAATGCAAAAAAAATCCTGCAGAGACATGAGAAAGAAAGAAAAAATCTCAAAAATTTTATACCCCCCCTCCTGGGATTTCTAATGGCCCGCCTCTAAAGTAAATTCAGTTATTAATTCATGTTTCATTCTGTATTCCCCGAGCCGACGGCGCGAAGTGCCGTGCGAGGGTACTAATTCCCCCCGGCTATTTACACCCGGGGAAACGAAAGCATTAGCGAAGTCTAAAGTTCATCAATCATCGCGGGCGCTGACCAACAAAGGGCGATCTTGAGTGGGTGGTCATCCTTATCTCAAAAATATGGCAAGCAAGATTTCAATTTTAAAAGACATATGTTTGGAAAATCGTTTCATATACAACAAGCTTGAAGCAATTTTGTTTGAAGGAATGAGAAGAATTGGTTTACTACGGGAAATCATGAAATATACGGCAAGTTTGCTTTGAATATTTTTTAAATGTTTACGAATTTTGTTGCTTTAATGTTTACGTAATAAAAAACATGAACTATAGAAGCTCCAAGTTTCATAAATTACAGTTTAATTTGAGAAAAAATCTTAACATGTAAAGGCGAACAAATTGATTTGAAGACTGAACTGAAATTACCTAACAATTTTATTTTATTTGTATTAAACTTACCATGTTTTGTTAAGTAAAAATAGTTTATCGGCAAAATGTAGGTTTACTTGAATGAACATTTCAAAACAGTTTACGAAGCGTTTCAAGTTCAATTTTACATTAAATCAAAGCTCACAAAATGCAAAATAATATACCTACAGTATGTATTTCGGAAATTTATTGTTGTATAGTTAAAAGTACGAATCTTTCAACTATTTTGCAGTTTTGTACAAAATAATTATATGAAAATAAAAATTTAAGAATATCGTGTTGTCATGGCAACACTTGAGCGCGAGCCTGCGTTCAGTGCTGGTCATTTCTGAATACTTCATGTTTAATGTATGGAATATTGGCGAGGGGTTACTGCATGCATGTATTTCTAGTTACCTGTTAATATCGAGTGTGGAGAAGTCAGGATTGTTGGAATGCCAAGGCATCCAATCTTCTAATAGCCATTAAGAAAAGTTATCGTTCATTTTTAATACAATATAGTGGCCTTGACCATTTTAACATTTCTTAATGTAAATTGCATGTTTATAT